GTACACTTTCCACGTTGGCTGTTCCTCTTGCTTAGGGCTGGGTTCAATATCCACCCTACGTACAATTACAACCCTACCCGCAATGATCCTAATCCATCTTCCCTGCTTTATTTTTTATACAGTACTTATCTAACTTATTGAATAGTTTACTTACATTATTTACTGTCTCTGTCCTCCTACTTGAATGTAAGCTCCATGGGTGGGAATTTTCACTATTTTGTTCACTGCTGTATCTCTAGTGTCTAGAAAAATGCCTGACCTATTCTAGGTACTCAGTATTTGTTACTGAGTTTGTTAACTGAATTTCTTTGACAGATCCCACTGATGTCTGCCACGTCAAACTAATTGTGTTTATTCCCTTGTGCTAGACTCTACTTCTGAATACTTTCCAACTTTGCGTTGGCTATCAGGCCAGATAGGTTGGACTGTCAGTTGCTGGCAAATCTTTCAGCAGTTACCACTAGTGTGACAGTTTCTCCCAACAGCTAGCAGATAGCAACGCCCTCTATCAAAGCATGTCATGGAGATTACTGGAGAATTGTTCCATTTTTTTCTACCATTCCTTCTACTCAGCTGCTATAAGTTCAACTGCACTAATTTACCCAGAGCTCTGAACAATTCATGATCCCCCCACAATGGGTTGCGGTACTTTGTCAACATTGCCAAGTTCCAAGGCCCGTGGATTCTTACAGTTAAGACATTAATTCTTTTAAATCTCTGACATGGGTTCCTTCTCATCTTACCACTTTTATTATCCTGGATCTTCTGGGATTCCCATCAGTTCCATTTCAAAATGCTTGAACTTAGTTTGATCTCCTCCCTCAAATTTCAACACTGCTTTTGTCATATGTGAGCATCTGTTGCAAAGTGTGCCGTTGGTTTGAAAGTTATGCTCAGGTAAACAAGCTACATAAGACAAATTGAAAGCAATTCCTAGTCCTGTAGGTGTTGAAAGTCTAATTTATCACCCTGATTCTTTACTCCAGGGAGCCAATTCAATGTCCTCTTATCTACCCTGGCATATCTGGGTGACCCAACTTCTAGAAAAGTCAACAGGAGAAACACTTTTGAAGGACGTACAGAAGTCCCAAAACACTTTTCAAAACACAGTGGAAGGGAACAAGACAAAGTAGACAACATCAATTTCCTATCCCTCTTAAAATTCTGAAGATGTGCCTAAAACAGGGTCAGAGATAAAACAGACCAGGAACTGTAAAACTAAAGAATGCTTAGGGGAGGTATGTGTGTGCATTGTGAGGAGTAATGGTCAAACACAATAAGGAAAACAGGGAATATTAGTTTGATTTCTCTGTGGCTAATAGAGAAATATGGTTACTTTGCATTAGCCATAAGTGCCATCAAGCAATTGTATTATTTCAAGAACTTTTCCTGATTTTCCGTAGTCATGACAGAAGAATACTTCTGTGAAATTCTTTCCATGAGAAGCATAGTTATGCTTGACCTCTGCTAGGGCATTCCACAAGCAGCACTTGAAAGGCTCAGAATTACAAAGCCTTGACCACAGTGTTGATCAAAGAGTGGCCCTCTGGTAAAACTGGACCAAACACCAAAATCTAAACTGAACCCTCCCATGGTTCAATATCCCTAGGGTGAAATTTTGCCTGAAGCCCTTACTTTGGCCACTCTTGAAGTTCAGAATATGAGTTTTAGGCTGCCGAATAGTTTGTGAAAATTAATGGGAAAATGATGAACGCTCAAATGAGTGGAAGTCCTGTGTCTCTGTCTTCCAAAAGACAACATGGTGTGCTGTTATCTTCACATGGAGCAAGACACTGACCAGCGAGTTCAATGCTTTGCCTGTATTCAAAACACATCTCTTTTCATCATACTAGAATTCATTGCTGCTGCTGCCTCGTCCTCCCCAAGCTATCAAAGCTTTCAATATGGCACAATTACACCACCATCTCCCTGGAACATTGCAAAACAAGCTCCCTGAGTACCCTTCCATTGCTCTCAAAGTCAAGCTCTCCGTTCCCTGTCAGAGGTCCGTGGCACTACATCTGGTCTTTCTTTGAATGGGATCATGAAACTTTTAGAGAACAAGGAACACACTGGTGAAGGTTAAAGAGGTAACATATCAAATCTATGCTAAATGAAGATTTAACTCCAAATACAGGCGGTAGTACTTACTGAACCATAGACACTAGTTTTCCGTACTCATGTTCAGATTTATTAATACTGGATTGCTACTGCTGTACTTTTAAAATTATCACTGAAATGTAATTTCACTGCTCGTGATGATGTAATTGCTGAGAAGCTGGGTGGGTAGTAATTATACAATGCAGTGTATGGAACTGAGCTAATGCCCTGAAATCTTTTTATTGTTTGATTTTTTTCCTTTCTTGTAATTAAACATCTAGTAATTGAACATCACTGCCTGATGTTCATTTTATGGTTTAGATAAAATAAAATACAGCATCCACATTCCCTTGCTTAGCCCTGGAGAGTGGAGGAGTGTGAGAAAGGAGGTGGAGAGGATTTAACCAACTCAGATTATTCTGAGTTCCAGGGGAGCACACACTGAAGTGCTGATACATTACACCATTGGTCATTTCTCCATTTCAACCACCGGCAAGCCATCAGCACTACATGCAACTGCCAGTTCACATACACTTAATATATATGTGTATGTATGTATATGTATATGTACACATATTTAAAGGTACAGGGCATGTTACCACCTTATTTGACAGATCCTAAATAGACTCTCGTTATAATCCGTATAAAGCCCAGCTAGAATGGAAAATTTAAAATATTTAGAAAAATACCTGCCATGGCTAACCACAAATTAATTTGCTATTACTGTTTTAAATTCGGCTTCATATGCAAATGAAGGCCCATGCCTGTTTGTCAAAAGGATTATATTTGTAAGAGCTGATGAAAGACCCAGATTTCATGTAGCACTGGCCCCTATTGCTTGCTCAGTGGTAATTTAGACTTACATCTTTGTCTCAGTCACGTATGTGTTCAGCCAGAGTGGTACAGAGTGTGTAAAAGCCTGGGCTTGGAGCCAGTCTGCCTGGGCCTGCAGCCTGGCATGGCCACTTACTATCTGTGTGATGTGGGGAACAGGATTTAACCTCTACCATATTTTCCCCATACGTAGAAAGAGGTTTATAATGGTATCTTTCTTACAGCACTGCTGTGAGTATTAAAGGAGTTAATACATGCAAAGTACTAAGAACAGTGCCTGGCACACAAAAAGCACTATTGAAGTGTTAGCTATTATTGATTGTAAATAGAAATGGTCTCTGGCTAACGTAGGCAGAAAAGGAATATATTGAAAGGAAATCAGGTAGCTTGCAGAATTGACAGAAAAGCTGGAGAAAGCACATAAAATGGGCGGAAACAAAGGCATCGATGCATTAGGATTCCCGGGCTGTGCAGAACCTCACTGCCAACAGCACTGTCCACATCACCGCAGGACACTGCTACTGCTGGCACTGCGTGTGGCCCCTGTTAACCACTGAATACTTTATGCTGCCACAAATAAGTCTGAATCCATCCTTCCTCCTTCCGTCACCCTCTCCAGAGTCAAAGCCCCAGGCAGGGCCTTCAGTTAGTCAAGCCTAGTTCACATGGCTGTATCCAATGGACCATGAGTATGGAGGGGTATTTGCTGCCTTTAGTTACTGAAGTGGGAGATGCAGCTGTCTCCCACCAAGAGTCAACAATATGGGATTCCCCAAAACAGGAAGAGAGCTTGGATGTGAGGCAGAAAAAAACAAAACAGAAGTCTACTACTGTGTTAAATTGCCTGGAAGAGAACTTACCCGAGATTCCTGACCCCCATCAAGGAAGAGAAAGAAGAATGACTGTGAGATCTGGAAAACCGAGATCAAAATCCACGTCACAAGGTTCATGGAAGAGTCACAGAAAAACAGAAAGAAACTAGAAGCTGGCCATTAAGTAGGAACTATCAGTGTAGTGGACAAAGAAATTCAGCCTAGAAGGCAGAGGAAATAGGGAGCACAGGGCTCTCCCAGAGTCAGAGAAAAGGAGCCTAGCCTAGACCAGTGATTCTCAAATATGCTGGTCTTGGGACTCCTTCACAATCTTAAAGATTACTGCAACTTCAAAGATCCTTTGTTTATGTGGAGTTTCATGTGGGTGTTTATATGGATATCACTGGATGCTTGCCTCACTGAAAATTAAACCAATAAATTTCAAGCATTATATTGTCATTTTAAAATAATTCAAATAAATAAATTATACGTTAACATAAATGACATATTTTCATGAAAACAACTATATTTTCTTCCAAAAAAATGTAATGGGAAGACTGGTACTGCTTTATCTCTTTGTGACTCTGGCTTATTAGAATTCTAGTCTCTAATAAAAAATGATAGAAATGAATTTATTTACAAAACAGAAACAGACTCACAGAGTTCAAAAACAAACTTATGGTTACCTAAGGGGAATGGTGGGGGGGATAAATTAGGAGTTTGGGATTAACATATACACACTACTATATGTAAAATGGATAATCAACAAGGACCTACTGTATAGCACAGGGAACTCTGCTCAATATTCTGTGATAACTTATATGGGAAAAGCATATGAAAAAGAATGGATACATGTATCTGTATAACTGAATCACTATGCTGTACACCTGAAACTGACACAACATTGTAAATCAACTATACTCCAATATAAAGTAAGGATTAAATTTAGAAAATACAAGTCTCCACGGGGCCCAGGGACTGGCCAGGCCGCAGCAGGTGCTATTTCTCTGTTTCCTTCCCTCTGAGGCCGGCATGCTGGCGTTGAGGAGCAGCGGTGGCCGCAGCCCCAGGATACGGAAAAGCAGAACCACCAAAAGGAGTGATGACCAGCGATGACATGAGAAGTCTGGATGTTAGTTCTAATGCCTCGGGACATGCAGTTGGGAACTCCACACCAGCTCCTGGGATCAAACTCTCATCCACTTAATACCCCTGTTTGCCTGAACTACTAGAGCCAGTCCTAGCTAACCACAAATGGCTACCCAAAGGAGACACTTGGTAAAAGATTTCAATCCTTACATCACCTGCTGTATCTATAAAGGGTATCTGATCAAGCCAACTACAGTGACGGAATGCCTCCACACCTTCTGTAAGACCCGTACCGTCCAGCACTTTGAAGATAGCAATGGTTGTCCAAGGTGTGGCAACCAGGTTCATGAGACAAACCCATTAGAAAGGTTGAGCTTGGATAACACATTAGAGGAAATTATATTTAACTTGGTCCCTGGACTACAAGAACAAGAACTTGAGAGTGAATTTTGGAAGAAAAACAAGCCTCAAGAAAATGGACAAGATGATACTTCAAAAGTTGACAAACCTAAAGTAGATGAAGAAGGTGATGAAAATCAAGATGATAAAGACTATCACAGTTCTTCCCCGGTGGTGCAGTGGTTAAGAATCCACCCGCCAATGCAGGGGACATGGGTTCGAGCCCTGGTCCGGGAAGATCCCCCATGCCGTGTAGCAACTAAGCCCGTGTGCCACAACTACTGAGCCTGCACTCTAGAGCCCGCGAGCCACAACTACTGAATCCCATGTGACACAAATTCTGAAGCCCACGTGCCTAGAGCCTGTGCTCTGCAACGAGAAGCCACCGCAGTGAGAAGCCCACGCCCCCGAACCTTCGAAGAGTAGCCCCCGCTCACCGCAACTAGAGAAAGCCTGCACGAAGCGACGAAGACCCAACACAGCCAAAAATAATAAATTAATTTTTTTTTAAAAAGGCTATCACAGAATTGACCCACAAATTGCTATATGTCTAGATCGTTTACGAAATAATGGACAATCGGGACAATGCAGTAAAGGGTTTAATGAAGGAATTCATTTGGTTTTCTACACGTGTAACTGTGGGAACTATTAAAATTTTTCTAAGTTTAAAACTAAAACTTCCAAGTTCTTATGAGTTGGATGTGCTGTGCCATGGTGAAATTATGGGGAAGGACCATACTGTGGAGTTCATCGACATGACAAGATGGCGACTAAGAGGCGAAAATTTTCGGTGTCTGAACTGCTCAGTTTCACAAGTCTGCCCTCAGGATGGCCCTTTGTATCAGTCATACCCCATGGTATTGCAGTATCGACCAAGAATTGATTTCGGTTAGACCAAGGGGCCTAGATCCCACTGAATGAATCCTGCACTATGAGTTTACTCATCAACAGATTGCACAGTGAACGGTGTGTGGACTAGAGGGACACAACCAGATTTTCAGCATGCGAATAAGGCTATTGTCTGTCTCTAAATTGTCAGCTGCATTTATGTTGTTTCTATTAAGAGCAAACCAAGTGCCATTCTGCTACTGAACCATCTGCATAAGTTATCTGTGCTGTCTCACAGTGTACAAGTCACGCTTGAAATCAGTTAGATATGCGGCCATGATTCAGCCTTCTAAATATTTTGCTTGCCTGTTCTATTGTTTGATTACACTAGTAACATGCCTCAATCTTTGTGGTGTTGCAGTTTTCACATACTTACTATTTGATTAATTCTTGTTTAAATAGAGTACTGTACAAGGAACTAATAATTATTATATCTTGAAATTATTTTGTATGGGAAATATATTTAGAAAAGTGGTCCTTGAGCCACTGTCCTGTTCTCAGTAAGCTTTTTGTGTGCAAAACAGTTCACTCTTGAGTGTGCAAGTCCTTTTGGGAAGAATTCCAATTGTTCTTCACTTTAAAGTCCATTATAATTATAGGCATCTTGCGTCATCTGTCTGTGTCGTCTACCCGTCACACAGGGAGGGCCTGTTCACCCTCCAGAAAATGTACGTGACTTCTTGGAGAGCTGAAGTGAGATTCTCAACCATTTGAAATGTTGGCAGCTGATCACATTTACTTCTAACAAAATTAATGAGTAAGTGAGGTTAATCTTTCATAAGGCCTTATGACGAGCCAGTGCTGCTTCATGAAACATGGTGCATCGCTATATTGGGGCTTTTATCTAATGAGTACATTGTTTCCCTTTTTTCAGTTGGCCTTAAGTGTGCGTCATTGTGGCATGCAGAAGGTTATGATGATTTAAGTATTAGGATGTTTAGGGCAGATAACATTAGCTATTTTATGGATTTCAAAAATCTCAAAGCAATTGTAGATTAAAACTGTTAGTAACCTGTCACATTCCCATACCATATGTATAAAATAGAAAAAATGCAGTGTCATAGATAAATATGCTTAACCAGAATTAATGGTTTGAGGATATTTCATTTTAGATCCTGTAGTAATCAGGGGGAACTGGGATTATTGTTTTATACATAAGTTCTTTAAGGTCAGAGCTATGATAATGTCCTTGATTACTTATGGAAGCTGATTTTAATTAACTCAAAATGAATTGAGAGTGCGTTTTAAAAAACCACAAATGAGACCTGGATGTTTTGGGGTTCCCAGCCAAAACTTAAAGCCTTAAATGAATTTTATATACATGATCTTATTAAATTTGGCCTGCTGCCTCATCTTATGTAATGTCACTATTTTCCAAGGAAACATATAGGAAGCATTTATGGCATTGAGAATAGTTTTATATAAAATTCCCCTATTTAATGTTAATGTATTAACATTTTTATTGAAATGCAATGGAATATGTGCCAAAACATGTGAAAACCTTGCATAAAGAAGGGCATCAGTTATATGGGGAAAGGTACACATTTTATGATGGTCCTAAGTAACATGGTATTACTATTAGAACCACAGACTTCTTCACATACTCAGCTATGGTTTTCTAAGTATGGTACTATTTTCATATCTAGTAATACACTAATCCCTAGTTAATTATCCCTAGTCAGGTTGTGGAATTTGTAAGAAACCAGGTATAGAAAAATTTAAAGGCAAAAATACACAGGTGGTTAGTTTTACAAACTTGGGGTACTAATAAGATAAACTCCTTAGACAAATAGCCTATAGGAGTAATCGTCTGAATCTGCAAAATTGGAGAATAAAACTAAATTAAGTTTTTCTTTAATCTCTTGTTTCTTAAGCAACAAACTGAAAGAACTTTACTTCCATAAAAGATTTTGTAAGCTGTTTTGTCTGCTTTAGATATCATAGATGCACAAGGGTCAAGGAACCTTGGATCTAAAGCAGGACTGTACTTTATAGACATCACTTTAACTGAAGTAATTACATTAGTTAATAGAAAAATCCAAATATGGCCCTTTCTCCAGATTATGCTTTAAAGTATAAAAACAAATAAACTAAAAGTTTCACTGATGAGGCAGTATTAGGTCATTCAGTCTGGGGCCCAGATACGTTGGGGTGATGCCTTTTAACTACTTTTAGAAAAGTATATTTCTTTATTCATTAAAAATCTATCCCATATTAATAGGCCACATTTTATAAATGTAATGAGTTTGCTCAACTATATGTAACTTGAAATGATTCTTTAAGGGAAGAAAAGTATGTTATATAATATTGTGAACTGTTTAGCTTTACTGAACTATTTAAGAGAAAGTGCCTAATCGCTAAAGTGCATTTCTGTTTTAGATTTACTGCATATATTTTGAGTTTTCTGTCCCTGTCTCTTATCAATGGTCTTGTATCTAAATAGGCTCTTGTAACTTACAGTAATCTCTTTTTGAAAGATTTTCATAAGAAAATAATTCACCAAAGACATTTTACTGTTAATAACCATGTTAGAGAGACAGTTTAACTGTCTGGAGGTTGGAAATTTTTAGACTGCAATTTACTTCTATATAACTAGGCAATAACCTTGAGTAATTGTTAAAATATCACCAAAGAAAGACTTTAAACTTAATTTTCATGGTAACATCAATCAAGTGCAGGTTTCTCTTGCAATAATCAGAACATACTTCCTTTCAGCTATGTTTCTTGTTTTTCCAGCACCATCTGACAGATCTTAGGAAATCCTCAAAGATGAAAAAGAGATTAACACAACAAATAGCCTCCTTCTGGATGAAAAGTGGGAGAAATACATACTTTGAAAGGAAAACTGAAATTGAGATTTTAAATTCTAATTTGAGAAGCTTTTTATTCCATGGAGGCAATATAGACTAAAATTATGCTTATTTAGTTTCTGGGTTCTTAGTAATATGAGAAATTTTATTAAAGACAGACCTTGGTAAAAATGCAAACATGCTTACTTGTATAAAAAACAGTACATTCTATTGGACTCACATAAGTAAATGCTTTTTCTGTACTCAAAAGCAAAATTTTCCTAAAAGCCTGTGGTTTTTTAAAAGTAATTCTTTGTCTCGTTTCTCAGCAATTACTTTGTTTTTAGAATCTAGCCATACAGACAAATTCAGCAAGATAAGCCCCAGATGAAGAGCATATAGACCAGGTTAAGCCCTGTCCTCTCACCGATCTCTTGGGGAGCCCATGCTGTGGGCCACCTCAAGTAAAGCTCACATTATGAAGTCTTCCTGACAGGCCACTAGGTAAACCTCCTTGGATAGGATAAAGATAGATGCACTCCATTACATACTCTGGTATACCATAAGGAATTTTCCAGCAGGCTATACTCTGTACCACTGAGATATAGATATTGCTTGTGGGAATTACAAAAATGAGTGAGTTTTCCATAACTTTAATTTTCTGGGTTAGAAACATAAAAATGTGAAATGCTATTATTTTGAGATATATATCTATCCCTACAATAAGGAATATGAAATGTCTGCCAGATCTGGTTTATAAAAATTGAAAAATATTAAATACACTAGAAACTCAAACCCTTTGAAAGCACAAAATAACCAAATAATTCTGGATTTAATTAATATACCTAGTTCAGTAGTATTCTGTTGAAAAAAGTTCAGATTGAAAGTTCATTAAAATGTACTCAAATATACATTACAGGGCTTTGTGTTTATTTGCTATCCTTACTATACTTTCAAATAGAATTAACATGCTCAAACACTTCCTTTTCAGAAAGTTATGAAATTAAACAAAAATAAATTATTTTAGATGCTCATTAGAATGTGTCCAAATACTTTTTATGCCCCTTTTCCTAGGATTCAAAACTTGAGTCATTATTCAGAAATACTTTTTAATTTTAATTCTCTTTAAATCTAGAATCAAGTGAAACATTAAATACTGCATCCAGTTTTCTTCCAACTTTCAGAGCTTCATGGAATAAGAAACTAATCTAGAGGCTGGAGTCAAGATGGCGGCATGGGAAGACGCGAAGTTCACGTCTCCCCACAACTAGGGCACCTGCCAGATGCTGGTGGGGGACCTCCATGCCCAAGAAGGGAGGAAATCCCAAATGAACTGGTAGGATGTGGGGGGACTGAGTGGGGTGAAGTGAAGGCTAGACAGGACCGGAGCCCCTGAGGGACTTCCATGAATGGAGGGACCCTTGGGGGCTCGGATCAGGGAGAGCATGCCAAGCGTTTCTCCTGCCCAATCGGCAGGGAAGTCTGCCCGGCTCTCGGGATGGGTCCTATGCCCTCAGAGGCCCCCTCTGGGCTACACTGGTCCTGGCAGCAGAGAAGAGCAGGAGAGGCAGGTGGGAGGGGCCCTCCAGGACCAGAGGAGTGGGAGAGGAGAGGAGGGCATTTGCCCCACCCACTTGGGCCCAGAAAGCCAGGTGGACTCCCAAGTGGGGTCCCCCACCCTCTGAGACCAGAGGCAAGCCTTGGCCCATTCTGTTCCCTTGAGCCTAAGGCCCACCCCCCACACCCTCAGGGCCTTTTCCAGCCCTGTAAGTCCTAACATAGGCTGTGCCCACTGCCCAAATCCCACCCCTACTTAGGCCCCACCCTCCACCGACAAGGCCTTTTCCACCTTTTTTTTTTTTTCTTCTACTCTTTTTTACTATTGTAGTTCTGTTTTACCTTCCGGTTGTTGTTTCATCTATATCTTTATTTTTATATTCTTTCTAACATATCGGTTAGTTTCCTAGTCTAATTTTAGTTTTTAGTCTTTGTAATTGTTCGCCTTTTTATGTTTTTTGCCACCGTGCACAGGTTGCAGGATCTTGGTTCAAGAGCCAGGGGTCAGGCCAAAGCTCCTGCAGTGGGAGCTCTGAGTCCAAACCACTGGACTAACAGAGAACCTCAGGCCCCAGGGAATATTCATCACAGTGAGGTTTCCTGGAGGTCCTCATCTCAGCACCAAGACCCAGCTCTCCCTAATAGCCTACAAATTGCAGTGTTGGAAGCCTCAGGCCAAAGAACCAGTAATATAGGAACAAAATCCCACCCATCAAAA